TATTTCAGCAAGCCCAGAGAGATGGGCTGGTCCCCAGGGAAGGGAAACAAATGTGAAGACGGCTTAAAAAAATAAAATTCCTGAGGTTTTCAGACATCAATCGTTTACCCACTGCTTAATGTTTAAAAAAGTGTTATTGCTTTAAAAAGTTGCTTTTTGCTTTTAACAAAGAAAGTGTTTAACTTTTGTTCTGAGACTTGCCTTTAAACGTATGAAACCTGAAGTGCATAAACAATGACACTTTGCTACTGCTGAGTGCTAAAACTGGTAACAGTGCGATTATGGAGAACGATGGGAAGATTATTCAATAATAGTCTTCTGCCTTTTTTATTTATAAATAAGCCACGGAATGAATAAATTTAAAATAAACACTGATATGTATGACGAGGCATTTTAGAAGACCTAAAATACGCCTTCCGAGCATTCTTGCATGGCCCCACATTGCCAAAACTGTACACAAGGAAAAAAAAATTATCCCATTAGCCATATCCTGTCTTGTCACTAGACAAATCAGCCTTGCACTGAAACTTGGAAGAGTGAAGTAACCCAAAATGAAGAACTAATATAATAAGTGAAGTCTTTATAACTGAAAAACGTGTGAAATTAATGAACTTTATTTAAATTGCTTCTGTCAATAAGGAGGCAAATACAAAGGTATACTGCTAATTTTGTGTTTTACCCAAGTTTTAAAGTTTCCAGTACGAAGGATTTAAAGACACTACTAAAGAAGCAATATTTGGGCATGATCTACTGCTGTTGGTGTTAGTTCTTCTGTTGATTTGTAGACTGTATCCATTTCAATGGAAGATCACATCTTAAGTCCTGTTTATGAATAATCAAACACTGATTCTTAAGATATATTCCTAACATATACATCATCACTCACCTGTAATTGCTTTTTAGTTATGGAAGAATACCTTTTTTAAAAATCAGATGGTGCTTCAGACACCAAAAAACTTTTATGTTCTCAACCTTTTTTTTTTTTTTTGTGTAAAGCTCTGGCATAAATTTATATGAAAATTTGAGCAAGGAAAGCTACAACGTGTGAACCCCATAAACCTATTACTTAATGCTTCTGGAAGTTAGAGCAAACCCTTGCGACCGAGACACCTTGCTAGGATATTTCTGCAGGCTATCCCTACAGTATTCATACTGTTTGGCAGTTCCATATGGTCAAGGAAGCCAAGAGGCATGTCAAAGTCTGGAAGGCTGTGATAAAAATAGATGGCGAAAATAGAACATGTAGAAAGAGTTGTTTTAGCAGTCAGAAAACTACAGCAGTCTGTACTCTTTTCTATAGCTATGCACATTGCTGTTTTAAAAGATGAGGATGTTTGTGTAGTTGTTTGCTATTCCTTTTTTTTTTTTTTTCCTCCAGTCATTTGTAAATGTCACCCACAAGCAGCTCTGTTTCTAGTTTTCACTAGAGGAATGAGCCTTATGAGCAGGTGTAGATGGTAAAAATCAAATTGATGAGTTAAAATGATGGTTCCTGACAGTTTTACAGATAAAAATCTAAAATGCACCAGGATGCTGGAAAGGCAGTATGTACATGTAAAAAAAAAATGCTCCTCTCATCGTAACGGTGTCCTCTTTTAAAGGTTTTACAACTACTTAGCTATAAAAAAATTCTCTCTGGGCTGAAGCATGACATAAAATATCTCTGGTATGGTAAAATTTCTTCCTTGTAATAAATATAATTAAAATCCATTTGGGTCCTTTTCTTTCATTATTATTTTTTTAAATCCCTAGATTCCACACAAACAATATGCCTAAAGGATGAGAATAACTAAAGCCATTTTACAGAAAAATATATAGCAAATGTCAAAGCTATGTGAAATCACATATGCACATTGCCTGTCTATACTGAGGATTTTCATGTCTAGCTGCTCCTTTATTTGTAGATCAAGATTATGTCACTGCAAATGACCTATGAAAATGTAAAACTCCCTATGTAAAACGAGTATTGATAGCCATTGTTTCTACAAGTAAATTGGGTACAGAACTCCTTCCCACTTTTCAGCTAGTGAGATTAGCATTCCAGCGTATACAGGGACTTGTACCTCATCAGTCAGTGATGTTAATAGTATCTGGGATTATTTCTGAGTTTTCAGATCCAAACAGTATTTATAGGCCTTGAGCAAAGTCAGGGAATATTTGGTTTAACAGACCTTTTGCCTGTTTCTAGTTATTCCTAAGTAGGGATGCATCTTTTCTGTATTGGAGATTTCAGCTTTGGTAAAACAGTATTAGTATTGTTTAAAACAAATAAACACCACAGCAGAGATACTTGTACTAAAATTCAGCAGCTCTCACAAAAACAGCACTTTCTAAACTCTGTAGATAAAAACAAATTACCAGTTTTCTTCCTTGCACAAGGAGATGGGTAATTTTCATATTCTGTCAACAGGGACTGCTAATTCTTGTCTGGATTTCTCTCTTTCCTCCATTGTACACAGCAGAGGGAATGAGAGGGCCTGATTGTCATCTGAGTCTGTGAATCCTGTTTTCTGGAATGTTCTGACAGAGTACTGTGTGCTTACATGTTTGCATAGGGCAACTTTGACTGTACATAGAACTAGCTGTTTCATAAGTAACATAGGTTTATATTTATTATTATTTTAGATTGGATATTAGGAAAATCTTCTTTACCGAAAGGGTTGTTAGGCATTGGAATGGGCTGCCCAGGGAAATGGTTGAGTCACCATCCCTGGAGGTCTTTAAAAGACATTTAGATGTAGAGCTTAGGGATATGGTTTAGTGGAGGGCTGGTTAGTGTTAGATCAGAGGTTGGACTAGGTGATCTTGGAGGTCTTTTCCAACCTAGACGATTCTGTGATTCTGTGATAAAAGTCTAAAGTTAAAATCATTATTTAGAGAAAGACTTACTGCCTTACGCCTTCTCGAAGGACTGCTGGAGTGCACGCTAACGGTGACGATTGTCCCAACCTTACCCAGGCTTTGCAGGACTCTCAGCTGAGTTCACTTGGCGTTGTTTCAACCAAGATGCTTACTAACGAAAATTTAATATATGGAAATGCCTTGGCAATTTGCATGTGGTTTCCAGTGGTTCTTAGCAGTTACAAAGCATAAGCCCTGCAAGAAAGGAATGCAAAGCTCTGGGGTTTGGAGATATACAGGTACTAAAACAAGAAGGAAAAAATATTTCTGTTCAGATAAATTGGACAAATGTGAACATCATAAAGCTAGCTGTGCTCACTTCTGTCAAGTAAAACCAAAATGTGCGCTCTGAGACTTGTCTACCACAGCAGGAGGACATACACCACCCCGCTGGCTGTGCTCTCCCCTCAGAGCTGGTGCTCCCACAGCTCCTGTGGGGCCTCACAGCCCCCCAGCACCTCCCCACACCACTCCTCACACAGGCCTGTTAGAGAGCCAAGGTCACTGTGCTGGCAGGCAGCTCGAGTTTACGCACCTTGAAGAAAATGGCAGTTCAGCATTTGCAGCACACAGCAAGCAGGGTGTGTGTATGCGTGTGGTGCCTACGCAGCCTCCCCCCAACCCTCAGGTGGCGCGCAGGCCTGTGCAGGGCACCAGGCCCTCCTGAAGGGAGCTGCAGGCTTCAGATCACCTCTGCCTCACTGAGAGAGGTACAAGTAACAACACGTTGCTAAGTGAAGCTTTTATTTAGAAAGTAGTAGTATTATTTTACTGGAGAAGCTGGCACTAAAGGTGCCTGCTGAGGGGACATTTCTGATCCAGACGCAAGACAGCAAGCCATTCACATTCTCTTGTGTATAGCAGGATGTCAGTTTTACAGTGGAAGCTGTTTATTTCTTTATAAAATTGCTGTTGTTGTCTCTGCACCCAAAGAAGACCAAGCAGGTTCACCACAGGGCACCTGGGTCCAGTCAGGCAGCTCCCCCATGACACCTGCCTCAGCCAGAGGGCTGGAGCCATGAAGGCTGCGTGCTTTGGGTGCCTGGGGAAGAGGCGATGCCAGCACAGGTATCTGGGAGACCCTCTGGGAGTACCTTTGGGAATCCCCAGAGCCAACATCACCCCGATGATGTGGGTGTGGGCAAGAGTGCAGCTGGAGGCCGGAGCAGGCGGAGTAGTGGGAGCGGTGATGGCTTCTCCAGCCACCAGCCCTCAAGGAATTGCTTATTTGCAGCTTTGGACAAGCAGGAGTGAAGTGTTTAAGACACAAAGTTCTTTGGAATAGTTATAAAGTAATAATAATATAAAAAATATCTGGAATTGGAACACAACTGGTTTGGTCGTACCACGGCCCTCAGTAACTAGCCAATAGAAGCTATGTCTTAGCAGCTGTTTCTTTCAAATATGCATGTTGCACAGCTGTTACCAGGTGACAGAAGCACTAAAATAATCACTATTACTGCTGAAATTTTACTTGACACATTATAATCCCTTGCTTTCTAAGATCAGGTATTATTACGATAATAATTTATTGATCACTGAGTTAGCAACAAATGTCTAATTTTTTCAGCTAGCTTCAGGAAAACTAATAAAAACGAAAGAATCCACCGAATGGACTAAGGACAGTGTTAAAAGCAGCAATGAAACAGTTTCTATGAAATGCATATATAAAACATACATCTTGTTAAAATGAAGCACTTATGTATTGTAGTGATATATACCCCTTAAATCTTAGTAACTGAAAATAAACAGAACGCCCTGGTTTTGTTTAGGGACCCTGTTTTACCCCCAGATATTTTTAAGACCTTAAGTACTTTGTGGGCATGCTTTTCCTTTACTTAAGGTTTGAAAACATTTCCATTTTCAAAGTGTAACTGAGGAAACTGGACAGAATTTTGTTAATAATTGACTGGGGAATTTTGATGTGTAATAATGAATAAAATGCAACGTATTTTTTTCCTGGCAATCTTTAGTTTTGATTTATGATAAATTATTAATTTTTAGATTGGTTCCAGTTGAAAGAAAACATGTCTTAGCTAGCCATTTTTTTTATATTTCTGCCGTGATTAAGCATATTTATTTATTTTTCCATCATTTAGGAAACCAAGAAATCCTTTCCTAAGAGGCTTGAGGAACAAAATGCCTTTGAAGTTTCTGCAGACATGGTGTCACAGAAGGCACAGGTATGTTGTAATTTCTATGTGCTGGCCAGCAGCAGGGAACCCAGGACAGAGAGAAGGAGCAAAGGGCAGGGTGCTTTCTTCTTGCTTTCTTCTCATTCCTTCCAGATGCATTGGTCTAAAATTTCAATACAAGGACTAAGGTGGTCCTTTGATGGGAATAGCAATGTCAGAGTGGTTCAGCAGAGGAGAAGGAGCAAAAGAGCCTTTAGCTTCCAATATACGTCTTGTTATACCAGAAATTAAATGCAATAATAACTTGAGAAAAAATGACAGAAAAATTCTGCTCCCTGAAAGACGAGGGTTTTCCCAACAACGAAGTTACATTTCTGTTAATTAAATGTACTTGTAAAAAAGTCCAAAATAGATGGATGCAGGTCTGTAATAACTTTCAGGGCTGTAGATATTTTTGAATATACACATACGAAAACTCACATTAAAAAAGACAGTAATAATAGCCTCATCTTTAACTCCGTGTTTCCATTCTCCCCCACGCTACCTCATAAGATTGCACAGATGGACCTAAAATGAAAGATTCCTTGTCCATATTCAGCAAATAAAAGGCTTTTTTCTTATTGGCATCCCTTAACAGTATTGCTTAATGTTATTCTAAAAATGTCTTACCCAAGACTATATGCATGCCAAAATGCTTCCAAAAATACATTTTTATTTCACATTTTGATTTATATGTTGCTCAGAAGAGTATCTGTTCATTTAATTATTTCAGTAAACGTTATAATGGTATCACTAACTATGCAAGAGTATTTTTTATTTTTTTTAAGAAATATAAGCCTACTTGTAATTAAAGAAATGCTATATTAATGACGCTCAAAGTCTCAGAGGGAATAATTTAATGTCCACCTCATAATATTATGCCAGAATTACATTCACAGAAGACTTTTTAATAATCTTTGTTTCTTAATTTAGTTTTGATTGGCGATGAAATACAGAGTAGCACTCAAGGGCTCAAATTTCTACTGTCATCAGCATTTCTGCTCTATAAATTGTACAAACACATGTGACTTCCGTCTGTAGGCTTCTTTTCAAGATTCTGTTTAACCTACGAAGAAAGTTAGCTGCAGGCAACAGATTAATTGCAGATAATTTCATCATTTTTTTAGCTATAGGAATGCTGGATTGTGTTATGATAGATAGGTGTGATCTAAACATAAGCAGAAAAGTATATTATGTTGCCATTTCAGCTGTAAGTGCAGGTTCACAATAAATCTCTAGTCTGCAAATTACGGTGAGAGCCACTAGGAGTCTCCTGGTTAGGTTTGTGAAGAATTTACATTACTAAGACTGGCAAACGTTTGAATGCAAAACCGGTGACAAAGGCTAGATTTTAGCGAAGGAGTCAGCCCTTGCAAGAGGCAGTAGACAGGTGCTGAGTGCTGGCAGCTCGGAGAGCTGTGCTGCAGCTCCTGCCACGCCTTGCGACCCTGGGGACAAGGCACCTGCAAAAGCCATGCAAGGTGTGTGGCCAGAATCTAGGAGCTTGCCATAGGAAGGGACGCTTGTTCTCACTCCTGCTCCTGATTGTGCTGCTCATCTCTGTAGCTGGCTCCTGGCAGTCACACACGGGTACAGCTGACAAACTTTTTGCTTCTTTTTGTAAGTGTACAGATTTTTTTGTGAAATTTTAACAAGTGCTTACAATTAAGGAGGTAAAAGATTTCACCAGCTGTTATTTATTCCTGGGGATTTAAAGCAGATATGTTTTGTAAACTGAAATGCTGCAGTGCCACAATAACTAGCACCTTCACATACTTAATATTTTGCTTATGGTATCTTTGCAAAGTGAATTCTGAAAATGTGAGGTAGCTCTTTTATCTCCTCTTTCCCCTTTCTAGCTTTCTCTTCCCCAGGCCAACTACGCATAAGTGTACTGTGCCAGACACACTGCTACCAATGCCAAATGCTCAAAGTTCATGAATTATAGAAAGGCAGGATGGCCACACTGTCTCTAACACAGTGACCATCCAGTACTGTGACTGACAAGGACAGTCAAATTTCCTTGCAGGAAGGCCACTGAAAATAAACATGCATCATCTGCCACCATGCATGCCTCCCACGTAAGAGGCTAAAGATTGCTTTAAAGTGTACAGGGAAGACAGAAGCTACCAGTCAAACCCTTCTGCAGAGGAAGGAGTTACCTGTTAGGGAAGGATGCTGTCACATGTTCCTTACAGACACAACTCCATGGCCAGAGACTGTGAGCACTAACTGCTCTATGACATTTATTTGTTTATAATTTTTTTCATGCTTCTCTCCTCTCAAGCAAAATCATTTCCCAAGTCCTAAAAATCCTGAGCGACTTTAAAAATGATGAGCTTTTAAACAAATTCGGTGGGCTATTTGTTTGGCTTTTGCTTTTTGAGCTTCTCAGTTTCATTTTCAACAAACTTTTCTTTGCAACCAGGAGGACTAAGAAAATGAAGATGGTGTTTTAAATGAAAGTGGTGAATCTCTTATAATCATAGGACTCCAGGGGTTTGAGGTTTCAGAATAATCTCATGAGTTGTCAATACTGAATGTCACCAGAAACTATAATGTTATTCTCAGAACAGATTGCATGAAAGCAATTGTAGGATAGTTTTCCTGCTGTCTGCTCCCCAGAATACCTACAGATGCTGTCCTGGAGGGATGGCCCAAAGGTACTTAAGAATGGTGAGCTGCCGCATGCTGGATTAGCTGCTGACTGGAGGAGTGCATTTGCATTTTGTAACAAATCTGCATGTGCAGAACCTTGTTATTTGGTTTATCAACTAAGCAAGCTCACTGAATAAAAAATCATAATGGACTCATAAAACCACTTAATTCCATGGGGAGTATGCAGAAATAGGTAGGAACCAAACTTTACCATCAACTGCCTCTTTTCCATGCTTGATGCCTTGCTCACTGCTGCCAGCCCTCTGCTAAACCAGCCCTTAAAGATGTGCCGTGAGGCCCCTACCCAGAGGTAGGTGGGCTCTGCTGGGGCAGCGCACTCCAGTACTGCCCAGTCTGACCACTACCAGGTTTTCCCGGTACCTAGCCTTCCCTGCTGGAATCTAGAGCCCTTACTTTTCATGTCTTCTGCAGATACAGAGACGAAGTTAGTTCTTTATCGTAGGATTGCATGCATTTCAGTGCATGGTAACATTGCATGTTCCTGTATACTCATGTTGCTCTCACTGACTCCCTAGATTTTACTGCAATCTCCCAACAGAAACCGAGTGAAATTCCTCACTCTGGTTGTGGTTTAGTGGTCTTATCTGTGCCATGCTTATAACTGACATAGACTCAACAGATAGATAGTACCTCAGTCCATATAATTTGCCAGTATAGTTTGTGGTGAAAACTTAAGCTGACTGGAGAATGAATATGGAGACAAACCAGAAGATTGATGCAATCTCTTCCTCCTCTTGCAGAAGGAGACTTAGCTTTTTCGTACCGTTACTTCTCTTAGAGTATCTGAAAGGACCCTGATCTCCAAGGAATTAAGAGAAGGCAGTTGAGCATTAACCTGATTTGAATAACAAAAAACTGCTACATAGCTTTGGTACGCTACAATATAATATTCACAGTAATAAAACCAAACATTTTTATAAGTCTGTTCATCACTTTGCTATCCTGAAAAGAAATGCTTATATCTCTGCCATTTCAAATTCAGGAATTGTTTTAAGTACAAGAACATGCCTAACTGGAACACGCTCTCTTCCACTGCCCACCTCTTCCTACTATGACAGTGCTATTTTCCTAACCTAAAAATGAACACTAACATAGAAGATCCGCTCATTGGCAAATGCCAAAGGCTCAACCCTACAAATATGTAAAACCTCCTTTTGAACGACGTCTAATTAGATATAGTACAGGTGGACATGAAGCGTTTTTTAGGGAAGGGAGTGCTTTGCTGCTGTGGAACACCTCAGGAACACCAACTATTCCTGTAATTTTCCTCATGTTTCAAGTAAGTCATGTCATTAACCACGCACATGTGAATACAGAGCATATGTACAATATAAATCTATGCTGAAAGCAAATACAACTGTCTGTCATGTAGTACATAAACTCGTATCACTAAATACACTTTTTCATTGTGCTCTCTTGCTCCCTTTCTGCATCTCCTCCTGCTCTCCAGTTCTTCCTCTTCTTCCACTCCTCTTGTTAGGATTCTGGTGGCCTTCTGCATCTTAAGTGCTTATACAGCAAGTGAGTTACGTCTGTGACCTCAGGTGATTCCTAAGCAAACTTTCATACCCCATCACTGCAGCAAAGACCTTGCTGGGTCAAATATTTACAGGGGAGAGTTCTGACACCATTTTAATACTTAGATTTAATCAAAATGTCATTTTTTTTATCATCATTGTTCTATCTAAAGAGTGTAGTGATAACCAAGGCATTCAGAAATTTAAAAAATTGCTTAATATGGGAACTGCTGCAATGTTTATCTGCACTAAAAGGAAGAAACAGGTTTTCTTGGGCAGCGTACTGCGTTAGAAGAACAAGTTTAAACATCACTGACTGAGGGCTCAATCCTATCCATTACAATTTTGAGGGAGAAAATACACATAATGATAAAGAAAAAAAGTAAACAACCATATTACACAAGGCGCGTTACATTTATTTGTTTTTAAACAGGGGCTGCTTGAAGCTGCTTGGAGGTTTAGAGCGTCAAAGTCATGTCAGCAGAGATGGATTAGTGGGCAGAGAGCAAGTGGTGCAGTCAAAGGATCACAGTGAATGTAATTTATTCACGTAGCTCCGCAATTTATCACGTGGCTATTACCATAATGTACGTGGGAAGCAGCTGCATGCATGCACATAATGCCTTAAATGTATGTGTGGTTGGACCTGAACTCCTTACAGAACAGTAGTGGTTGCAAATGATACCATAAGGCGTTTAAAAGCAAATTTCCTTCCTGTGGGGATTCTGTCACACAGCGATGATGATTTGTACACAGGCAAACAAATGTCTTGTAGACTGTTCCCTCACCTACCAGAACTCATGTTTTTTTCAAACCTAAATCATCTGGGTAACGTGATGTAAATTTCCAGTGCTTTATTAATATATATGTTTTGTGCCTCAAGCTCCCATTCTGTAGTAAAGGAATACCACATCTTCCACTTATTTATTTCTGTAAAATATTTATTTCTGTAAAATACTAAGTATTTGTGAGAAGAAAAAAGTTATCTGCAAGTTGAAAATTTCCTCCAATCTCACTGACCTCTTAGAGCACAATCTATCAAATACTCAGGAGCGGCACAGCTGTAAAAGGCTGATATATGCTGCCTGCCTCATTTCTCATACCTGTACAATTATTTACCAAGCCCAGCATTTCCAAAATTGTTTTCTAATTTTAGGAGCATCCAAATTAAGGAACTTGACTTTAGTCTTTCTTAGTTGACCTGAATGCCTGCAGTCTCAGTTAAAGAAAAAAAATCTCTTAACTGTTTGTAGAGCCAGCCCCTATATGAAGAGCTTTCTTACGCTTCCCGTGCACACAAATGTGCATACGTGCTGCCTGGGGTACCCGGGCTCCAATAACGTTGTCTGTGCCAGTGCAGGCTTGCCCAAAAAGCTCCAGCAGCACAGCTCCCACCACCACTTTTGAGCTTCTGCAGCTTGAGCAAACCATGAGAAACGATGCTGAATTATACAGTGCTACGATGCTTTCAGGTGACTGTATTAGAAGCAATTCACTGAATACTTTCGTGATCCAGGCAAATATGGTTAGGGGTTAACTGACTACGAGTTTTATGCTGCTTTCTTTTAAGTCATTAAAAGTTGACCTAAAGACACAGCGAATTGAGACCAAGTCAAGCTAGGCCCCAATAATAAGAACACCACATTGCCCAGCTTAATGTACTGCTTGGCATCTGTTTAGCACAACCCTCTCACATTCAGAACACGAGGCAGATTTTCCAGGACATTTGTATGTGTGCTACAGGACTTCCATTTTGCAGCCATCTAGCACAAGTATATATCCGCTAGTTATGAAAATTAAAAGCTTGCCTTACCATTGCACAGAAAGTCTCAGGAGGATCTCCACACGTTATATCTGGGGGATCCAGAGTCACTCTGACGTATTTGATCATGTCTCTGGCTTCTGGCTGGCAGGCCATGTAATCCCATACTTTTCCTTCTTCTGTGTAAATCTGAGTCTTACACACATCATAATGTCCCCACACGGAAGGATAATGCTGCATCACGGAAGATACGGTAACCCAGAGGGCGTGAAGTGACAGGAATCTTGACAAATACATTTCTAAATCCTTGTATGTCACCTTTGTAAGGATGCTCAGTACTGGCGTACGCGCAGTCTGTATAGGTTATACATATATATACATATACATGTATGTATTTTATAAAATAGGTTCCAACTCAAACGTGAAGCATTAGGATACAGTGTTTGCTTTACTAAGTTGAAGACTTTGGTAGAAGCCACACAGACCCCAGTGACAGCCTTTCACAGCAACGTAGAGCTTGTCCTTTGTCTTATAACTTATCTGTCAGGGCTTCTTGTAAAAGATGTCCAATAGCAGATAATAATTTGTGAAGTTGCGGGTCTTCAGCTACACTGTCGATAACCCTGAGTGATCCTCCGTGTTCACAGCTCACAGGGGATGCCCAGACGCACTGATAAATCAGTATCTGAAGCAGAAGGATGAGTGTCTACAGGCTGGTGTCTGTTTCCCATCAATCATTCTTTTCTTCTGGCACCAGCACCCTTTTAGAAACAATAAAAGTTAGAGTTATTGTCCAAGAATCAATGCATTACAAAATATATCACATGTTGACATTTTGGAGGTTTGATGCAATATAAAGCAAATTGGTATAATATGGATAACCTTTACTGTGGGTGCTGTGCTACACTGGACAAACCACCCAAATCGTTCAGAGTGAAAAGTATTTTGACATGAAGGATTTAACTCTTCTCTAACAAACACAGATTTGTAACGCTCCAGGTGAGTTACACGTTTCTGCTTCCAAAACTGTATTTTCATCCTTGCAACACCAGAGAGCAAACTACAGAACTTGAGTATTGTGCACATCTATCCAGGTAGGTAGGGGAGCAGGGAACCAAACTCTGGTGAAACAGCAGGAAGGCTCTTTTATTGAGGTGACAAAGAGATGAGTACCAGGTCTCTTGGCAAGTGACAGTCTCTTGGCAAGAGGACCTCAGTGAGCTCCAAAAGCCTTACATGTTTCTTACACTCTTTTTTGGAAGAGTAATAAAGACTCTGTAAACGCACTTCTGTTTCCTTGAAACTTCTCATTAGCACTGGAAGAGCTTTCCTCCTTTTTTTCTTCTTTAACTGGTCATGCTGATAAACTACTGATAAAGATAATAGTCCATTTGTCATTTACTGTAAGGATGCTCTCCCCTTCTAGGATGGATGTTGTATTTTCCTAGGTTTGTGGGTGGGTGTCCCTGTGTACGTGGTATTTATTTCATAGCAGATAGATCCCCTTTCAAAAAGTTAACTAGAAATCTGCTCAGTTTATGTCACGTCAATCATTTTATTACACACAGAAAATCCCAGGATGTTATTACAATGACAACATATGCATTTGGTAAAAATACAAACAGTGTGCGGGGGAAACTGCAAAGATGGGGTAAGCTCCCTAAACACGGACAGACAAAAATCAGACTACAAACTCCATCTCATCTCTTTCAGCCTGCGCCTGTTGGCAGCCTGTGCCAGCTGAGGACAGGAGCTCGTGCACTGCTTTCTGTGGCCATAGGACTGGACTCTGCAGGAAGAGGATTTCAGACAGCCACAACAGCATCTCTGCACTCTTTTCATCTGGATGCTGCTAAAATCTAAGCAAACCCATCAGGCAGACATCAACGAACAACCGTAAGTCATCCCGTTCTGTCACCCACTTTGCTTGTTCTGAGGCTTAAATTGTGTGCCATGAACCCTCCTCTACCCCAAACCACAGCAAGTGTCATATGACTCGCTGAGCTCCTGCGTATGTCGCTTTGGTAATACACATTTTCAAAACTTATCTTCAAAGCTATTCACAAGCGGCATCCCTATATTTAAATAATGCTTCATCTTAAACTGAGCTAAACTGCAGACACTATGAAATGCCAACAGATGGTTGAATTGTGTTTCCATAGCAAAGTAATTTACAATAATTGCCGTATGGACGTAAATGCAATTTTCCATTATATTCGTTTTATCAAATGTTACCATACAACTCTGGTATATTTTATCAGAATATGCAGAGAATATCTGAAATTTCATGCAATAACAATTCTCAATTAGATCAAATATATTTAAGCCTCAAATATGAATTTGACATAAAAGAAAAAATATCTAAGACTGAATTAAAATTAGATCTTCTTAAGAATCACATTGAGTAGTACCATAGCTTTATAAGCAGCCTTACATTATTTTTTGTTTGATTTCAGTGGCAATATTTACTTACTATCTTAGATTTTAATAATTCAGAGAAGTTCTCCACGTCCTTCTAAAGACACCCTCATACTTGTCTCCTCTAGTCCTTTCTAATGTATTTTGCAGGGAAAAAAAATAAAAAGTCACATAGCCTAGCACAGTCATTATACAGAAGGGAAAAATATTCCCTGCTTAAAATAAAATAAAAAAAAAAAAAAAAGAGAGAGAGAGTCCCTTCACCTGGCTCAAAACCTGCAAATTATTTGAAATTTATTGTCAGAAATCAGAACACAGTCCGTATTAGAGAATGCTTGGTCATAGCTGGAATGAACAGTCAGTGAACATCATGTTTCTATGTAGAAATAAAAAGTTACAAGGTTTAATTATCCTTAGTCTACAAGCTTCTATATTCAGGAAAAATAGATTTGTTTTCTTTAATATTTTCCTTGCTAGCTCTTCAGTTTCCAATAACCTTTTAATAACTGCTGAGATGCAGATCTACAAATAAACAGGACTGGATAGGACTGAAATAATAGGAAGCAAGCCGCTACCTTAACACACTGTGCTAAAACACTTCCCATATAACGAATTCTCATTAAAGTAAGCCAGAGTCATAATGATGGTCGTTACACAGAATTATAGACTATAACATCGATCGAATTTAGTGCACTGACAAGGAAAAAGTGCAGAGGAGTGCAAGACATCTGAGTATTAGGCAGATGTAGAACTGTACGACAGACATCCCTGACAAGAAGCAGCCAATTATAGCTTAAAATTCTGGCATATAACCAGTTCTGATTAATAGTTTTCCATTACATTACAGACATATTATTAATGTATTAAAAATGTCAAGCTTTGGCAAGAACTAATACGGCATGGCTCAGTTAGTCTGCAATATCTTCTTTTAATGAGCTTCCATTGATACAGAGAAAGATATTGACCAAAGCACATTAAGGATCATATGCTAAGCGCTATTGGGGTTTTTCTAACAGAGCCATACAATTTGTCTTGCTTATATTTATTCCTGCAGAGTCACTTGCTATATGCATTCCACATTTCAGTGCTCTAATTCTAAAAATACATGCATTATTTTGTAAAAAACACTTAGAATAACATTTCTGAAGTTTATAGCTGTGCGCGCCCCATAGCACTAAGCCTCTTGCTGTGGGTAACAAAGCAGCGGTTTTTACCCCCTCAGTTAACACCTGCACATTTGACCTTACAAGAAGCAATCAACAAATCAGGAATAACCAGTAAGTGACACCCCCACCTACCCTCTGCACCTCCGGTTCCCTGTCTGCCCGCTGGTCCCAGGCTCTGGGGGCGCAGGGCCCACGGGGCTGACGGAGGGAGTGACACAGCTACGGACTGAGGGCAAGGTGGCAGCACGCTGCTGGAGGACAGCTACCACACCAAAAACCTTCAAGGCACACCCTGCCTTGTGGGGCAACAGCCATGTGAACTGCCGAGCACTGGGGGGCCTCGGATTTTCACATGCCATATCCTCTGCAACCTGAAAAACAGGAGGCAATCCCCGGGCACCTGGGAGATGAACACCATCTCTGCTGTCCTTGCATTCCCCCAAAGCACCTCTCTGTGCAAAGTGGAGGACATTTAGGCTACAATGAGCATGTTACAGATCGGCTGCATCACACGTTTAAGGAAGGCAAACGGCTGACCCCCAGACTAAAACTGGCTGTAAAGGTGCACATGCACCCTCCTCCCCTGTGGGTGAGGCTGCCGGTCAGACCTCACGCAGCATTTCCATTTTGCAGCCTGAGCAGATCCCCCCTTCTCCACAAACCAGCTAAAATGCATCTCGGCAGAATTACTGCTGGTGAAGAACTTCAGCTCTTGTCAGGGGTTGTTAGCAAACACACCCCCTCTGCCTCCTTCCAGCACAGAGAAAATCCAGCCCCCGGCCCCAAATAATTCCCTCGGCACAAAAGGCGTCAGCTGGAAGCTCTGCAGTCCCTCTCCTGCATCAGGTCCCTGCTGAAAAGTTGCTGCACAGTGTTACAGGGTGGTTCCTGGCCTTCGATTCTGACGTACAGCAGGTATGTGAAGAATGCAATAAAATAACAAGCAATCACTTCTCCTACAGTCCAGGTATTTGATAAAACACACGCTGCCACAACACAGGAGTAAGAACAAGAGCCCGACTCAGTTACTATGATTTACGCCAGTGTGAGGAGAACGGGTTAAAATCCCTAACGGATGCACGGAATGGGGGCTGTCAGCTGACTGTGTGGGGGCCTGCAGAGCGCTTTTTTCCAAAGGAAAAAAGTTTGCACCCCTAACAGTTTGTATCCCTGTGGGAAGTTCGTATCCCAGCTTCAGCAGAGGGGTGTATCTAATCACGCCCAGGTAAAAAGATCCTTTATGTCCATGCCAATTATTAATTATAATTGATGAAATAATAGGTATTACAAAACAGAACTAACCCTCATTCCCGCATGTCACAACATTTAATCAAAACCAAACATTTTTACCTTGCTACACCTAGAAAATTTGAGAGCCCAGTACACACACTGCTCCAATCTGAAAAATAGTAACAATCGCATCCCGTCTTATGCAGAATTAGTTATCTATGCAAACAAAAATGGAACC